TCACGGGCGAAGCCATCACGGTTGAAGCCACAGCGATTGAAGCCACAGCGGTAAGTCTGACACCAGCTTTTGCCCTCCCTCCCGTCAACTCCCCCGCCCACTGCACGATCAGAAGAGACATGCCCGCTAATAATGCGTAAGCCACTTGCGGACCTCGATGGCAGGCAGTCAGCAGTACAGTCATCTTTCTCTCATGGCAAGCTTGAAAAAGCATCTCAATTCAAGTGCTGGGTGGGCACTACACTGTTTTATTAAAACTGTATTCTTGTACTTGTGACTCAGAAAGAATTAACTTTCTTCGATAACAAGGTACTCAGAAATCACTGCTATCACCACAGCAGACCGTCTTTTTTTAGTTTTTTCTTCCTAATAAAGGTTTTTCTAAAAAAAAAAAAAAAAAAAATTGTGTCGAGCAATTGCGAATGTGCAGTGAGGTGGAAGAGTGGATGGAGTGTGTAACAAGGTACTTACTTAGGTAGGTTGGTTCCAGCCTGTGACTCAGAGGAAGTGGCGCTGATGGGAGCCCGCAAGGTGCGCAAAATGACCGAAATGAGTGCCCATGGCACCTGCGGTCCACCAAGGTACCTATAACAAGTAGCGCGAAGTGCGCTATAAATTGCGGTGAGTTTCCATGTGCCCCCCCAACCCAAGGTACCTCACCTCTACTCTTAGCTTCCCTTCCCTTCCTCGCTTTCGTCAACACGTCTCAGCTAATCACCAACCCACACATACACGCCCACCACAATTGTCCGACTCGCTTCAGCTACTCCAGGCGTCCTTCTGTCACAGTGTCTTCGTCGAGTCGACGGGACGGAAAGCGAAATCCGGTGTCGCGAGACAAGGGCGACACATGACGAGATGGACATCCCGAACCACGCGCACGGCGGATTGCGGTCCGACTCGCGACTGCTCTCCATCCCGCGCGAAGTCCGCGACCTCATATATGAGCACTACACCATCGTCGAGGGGGGATACATCTATGAATCAGACGATCTCCTCGGTGGCAGGCTCAAGAGGGCCGACGGGCGACCCATCGATCTCAACCTGATGTACGCCTGTCGACTCGTCGCCAACGAGATGCGCCACCTAGCCTTGCGGAGCAACACCCTCACGTTCTCCACCATTACGTCGGAATCTGGACCGTCCCCTTTAGCCATGCTTGAAGGTTTGCGCATGCGCGCTGCTCGGTTCGACGGCCTGGTTGGGCGTTGCCTCGACAGATACAGGCAGCAACTGTTACATTTTGCCGGAGGCTTCCTGGCGAGGCGGAGGTTCGAAGAGCAACAGGCGCGGACAACTACGTCAGAAGAGGGCAATCACGACCATGAGGAGAACGACAGTGACGGCTCCAGCAGCGACTTGGCCGCTGCAAGCAAAGTACACGTCGACCCTCCTAGTACTGAAGACCCGGACGGGGTCTCGTCCTCAGGGTCGTCCCCATCTGGCGAGCCGTCATGGGCCACAGCTCAACTTACCTTGGACGAGCTGGCCAAGAAGCACCCTCGCTTCCTTCGAGTCCTGGAGCGAATGGATCATGAGGACTTGACACCATGGAGAGCCTGGGGCTTCACGCATTTTCGCCGTGGTCCCTATGGTGAGGCACCATCTTCATACCTCGAGCTCTGCTGCGACCTCCTTCAAGCCGCGTCTCGTCTGAAACCGAACGACTGGAATCAACTCGAATGGTGCCGGCTCATGAACATCTCGGAAAATCGCTTGGCGGGTGGGGAAACCCGCTCGAGCCGCATCATGCGCTGCTCGGTCAGGGAGTGGGATATCCCTAAGGCCGCCGACCTGAAGGAGCTATCGTCGTGGATCACCGAGGAGAAGCGCCTGCTCTCATCCATCCGCCACGGATCCGACGGCTCAGTCTACCGCTTCTCGGCCGCCGCTTCGGCCATCCGCTATCTCAAGTCCATCCCCGCCGCCATGCGCGCGCAGGTGCGCAAGATTGTCCTCGTGGAAGACTACCGCTCCGTCGCGCATCCGGAGAGCCACGCCCGAGGCCTGATCCCTTTCTGCCGGGAGAACCCCCTCCTGCGGGTCGAACGTCGCGTGAACCTGTGGCGGAACCTCTTCCAGGTCGACAAGAGATGGCACACGCCCCACCAGCAGTGCGAACGCCAGAATCGTGCCGCCACGCGGGCGCTCCGGTCGCGGGACATCACGTCCACCGTCGCGCTCTGGGTCACGGAGGCCTTGGCTCTCGGGCCAGCGGGCATGCCCGCGGCGTCCTTCTCCCTGGTCCTGGACGGCGACCCGGCGCCGCAGCTGTGCGCGCGCATCTTCCAGACCGTCGTGCAGCGCGACGCCGCGTGGCAGCGGGCGTGGACCGAGTCCATGGACCGGCGCCTCGTGCTCGTCCACCCGGTGCTGGACTGGTTCGAGAGGCGGGGCGAGGACGCGGCCAGGGCGGGCGTGCATCCCGTCTCCGGGATGTACGAGTCGTACCTGGGGTACTTTTACGAGGGCTTCCCCGAGGCGATGAGGGATATCGCGCGAGGCAGCAGCGGGTCCGTGGTGCGGTGTAATTTTGACGCCGGCGAGCCGTGGGATGCTGAGAAGGTCGTGCGCGCCAATAAAATGTGGACGTCGGCGCAGTGGAACGAGGGGTGGCTGCGGCACGAGCAGCTGTTTTGGGAGACTGAGGCGCCGTTGCCGGAGTGGCCGGCGTTGCTGATGGAGAATATGATTGACTCCTTTTCTGGATGTAAGAAGAAGAGCTGGAGAGGGCGTTGATGAGGCCGGTCCGTTTCGTAGTCTCTACATGGGACGGGGGCGGTGTCCGGGTCGCATTCTTCTGCTGAACGATGAAGGTATATCTTGGACTTTGAGTCTATATATGTATTCATCTGGGATCTAAGGATTCTACGCCGCGGCTCAGCGTACAGCACACGGTCTGGATATGATTGTTGGCAAGGCATCTCAGAGATGATACAGGTTTTACTTGCTATTTAGCTATAATATCCCCCTCCCGTCGCCATTCTCGTCAGAACTCCTTCGCGGGAGATACCCTTGGCCACGATGCATCATGTTGCAACGCTTTCTCCAGCTCCCTTTTGGATGGATGTGCTGGAATTTTTTTGATTTTTGCCTAATTTGACATATCCTTCTGGGTGGGGCTCATTTGCTGGCTCGCCGAGTCCGTTCCGTTAGCCGGGGCGGGGCGGGGCAGTGCGATTGTATGGTGAGACCGGGCTTCACAGGGTCTTCTCCCTTGCTATTTGTGCAGTTCCGTGTTGTACTTACGGGCCTCCGCTTGGGATCGAGAGACTTTGACGATTGCTGTTGTTGATACGGTGCGTCTGATGTAGCCAGCCGAGACGGTGTCGTCGGACTCGGGCTTCCCAGTCCCCCGTGTACCTTTGTTTTCCATCTGCGAGTTTGAGCCGCAAAAGTGAGTGCAAAGTGGCTTGACGACGGCTGAGGACTAGGAGTTCCGCCTCGTGGCTTGTTTTGATGAGTTGATGCTTCACAAGGGCTGTGATAAGTTGGGCAAAGAAAAGAAAAAGAACACCACGAGAAGGAAAAGAGCAGAGAAAGGAAAGGGAAAAGGGGGCAGAGGGGAGAATGAGGAAGGGGTGGAAGAAGATAAGGTAGATACTACTGGAGACTTTGGCCCTTGGCGTGTTGTCTTTCCTGCTTCGCGGGAGACGTGTGTGTTTCTGACAGGAACGGTTCTGGTTTCTGGCCCTTGAAGTCCAGAAAGGCTACTGGGGAGAGGAACGAAAAGTGGCTGCTGACATATGTGTATGAGGTGAATTGGTTCGGTTGTGCTTGGGGCTGGACGTAGTCACAGATTGAAGCTGATCGCATACCCCGGTTCCATCTGTCGTCATCGAGTATCCGTAGGTAGTTCAAGGAGATTGTCAGCCCTGCCAACAGAGTTTGACTTCCAATGTACTTGGTCCTCAGGGGTATGTTTAAACTCCCTACCAGGTAGTGTGGGTCTGACCAGGGCAAAGCAGTGACTCTCAATGGCTAAATTTCTGTTCGACGTGCATAAGAATCTCGAAAGTAATACTGCTGATATAATTGCGAGAAGCACGGGCGAAGATACCTGACAAGGGGGTTGAACTTTGGCCTGATACCGTAGTATGGGCCCCATCCTCAAGAGCCGGCGGGATGGTCACCGAAATGCCAACCCAGGCAAAACCAAAAAAGGCTTGCACAGAGTTCATCGCAAAGAACCCTCATCCAGCCCCTCTCTTCCTCTGACTCAACACACGGTGGGCTTGACCATCACGGTAGGAAGGGAACTCCAGAAAATGAACACCATCCGCGGATATCCAATAAAAAATTTGGTTGACAAACCCCGCGGCTCGGTACTCTCAGACGTCCGAGTTTTTTCCTAATGCGGTAGTCCTCATGACTAGCCAGCCGGAGAATCTGACCCCACAACGCCCGATGATTCCGGGTCTCGGCGGGGCTGCGGTGGTGGGGCTGACGTTCCGAAAATTCGACAACTCCGCGGACCACCCCGTCCCCCGCGGCGCTCTCAACCACTAAGCCTCCCGCCCGCTTGCCCGCCTACCTGCCTGTCCACCTGGCTCGCCTTATGGAAGCCTGTTTCCGGATCCTTGCAAGCCATGTTTGTTTTACGCGCACGTTGTGACGTTGACATCAATGTAGACCTGACATGCAACACCATGCTCTTCACCCCCTCCCCCCTGTAATACGTCGACCAACCGGGTTGTCCGTATTACACGCCTTGGGCTGACGTCGGGAAGTGTCGCTCACGATCAGACCACACTGCTCGTCGTCCACGACTCTGATGGAGAGGGTCGGGATGGATGAAGGGCGTAATTGCTCACCACTCAACTGGGGACGAAAGACAGAAACAAGGAATACACCCAAGAAGTAGAATTTGGAGTTGAATGAATCAACAAAATGGGACCCGTCAAACACCGTCAAGAACGCAGATATAAATGCAAAAGGACACCGGCTCCCTAGAGAACTCCTCGTGTTCTACACACAGACAGAATTACCTTGACTACTCAATGTTCTCGACCTCCTTGCCTCGTCTATCTTCAACAGCGATCAAGCTCCAGCGACTCTCTTCACGCCGCCTCCTCCACACCCAGAAAACAATGACGACCACTACGCCCCCAAGTTTCCCCTTCCAACGCGCCTCGGGCCTCGAACCGCCCGCAGAATACGCCCGCCTCCGCGCCACGGAGCCCGTCTCGCAAGTGAAGCTCTTTGACGGCTCTCTCGCATGGCTCGTGACGAAATACAAAGACGTCTGCGCCGTCGCCACGGATACGCGTCTCTCCAAGGTGCCATCTCTCCATCCTATATAGCCCTTCGTCCTTCCACTACCCCTTTTTCACACGTCAACGGGAGTATCAAGTATGTCCAAGTGAGCTAACACCACAACACAGGAACGCACCCGCGCCGGATTCCCCGAGCTCAGCGCCGGCGGGAAAGCGGCGGCCGCGAACAAGCCCACCTTTGTCGACATGGACGCGCCGGCGCATATGCAGCAGCGCGGCATGGTTGAGCCGCTTTTCGTGCGGGAGCACATCGCGTCCATGAAGCCGTATATCCAAAAGACTGTGGATAGTCTACTAGATAAAATGGTTGAGCAGGGGTGCGACGAGCCGGTTGACTTAATTGACAAGTTTGCCTTGCCTGTTCCGTCATATGTAAGTGCTTTGGTTTACACCCAAGAGCAGTGAGATGAGAGTATCCAAAACGGACATGTTGATGCAGCTACCTTGAGGCCCTGCTAACTACCCTTTCTAAGATTATTTATACCATCCTCGGCGTCCCGTTCGAGGACCTCGAATATCTCACCCAGCAGAATGCCATCCGCACGAATGGCAGCGGTACCGCATCGCAAGCTCAGTCTGCAAACCAGTACGTCCAACTTTACATGTCCCCGCCGCCCCATTTCCCTACTCTCGCGCCTCGTTACCGATGATGACTGACACAAATCGACCAGAGAACTTCTCAACTACCTCGCAAAGCTAGTCAACCAACGCAACATTGAGCCCAAGGACGACCTCATTAGCAAGTTGGTCGTGGAGCAGCTCAGACCCGGTCACGTTGAAAAATCGGACGCCGTGCAAATTGCCTTCTTGCTGCTCGTTGCTGGCAACGCGACGATGGTGAATATGATTGCGTTGGTGAGTCACCTGTGTCTTCTCGTCTTCCCGTCTTGACTCTTGAGTGTCTTTCATTCTTGGAGCAAACGGACCGCGTGTTTGGGGTCCACGATTCAACTAACATCCGGCACCCCAGGGCGTCATCGAACTCTTCCGGAACCCAGGTCAGCTCGCCCAACTCAAAGCCGACCCGTCGCTCGCCCCGGCCTTTGTCGAAGAGCTGTGCAGATACCACACCGGCTCCTCCATGGCGATGAAGCGGGTGGCCAAGGAAGACATTATCCTCGGTGGCAAGGTACGTGCTATCTACTAACCACAATAACCTCAGTCAATCTCTTCACTTGTGCGTGTGGTTTTTTGTGAAGCGCCCTGGTCCGGACATGCTGACCGTTGACGTAGACCATCAAGGCGGGTGAGGGCATCATCGCCGCAAACCAATCCGGCAACCGAGACGAAGACGTCTTCCCCGACCCGGACGTCTTTGACATGCACCGGACCCCTGACCCGAACCACGCGCTGGGGTTCGGCTTCGGGCCGCACAGGTGCATCGCCGAGCCGCTTGCGCGCGCAGAGCTCGAGACTGTCTTTGGTGAGCCTCTCTTTTCTCTTATGATTGCCGTTCATATCCTAGAGGTCATGTTGGCCGTACATGTGACTTGAGCTTGGTGCATAGAAGCAAAACCTTACGTTTACGCGTCGTTCCCCACGTTCGCCCTCTTCCATGGGCCTCTTCCAGTTACACTGAGCTGACGAATCCCATCACAGCAACGCTCTTCCAGAAGCTCCCCAGCCTGAGAATCGCCGTGCCCATCCCAGATATCGAGTATACGCCCCTGCACAAGGATGTCGGGGTAGCCGAGTTACCGGTGGCATGGTGACCGGTGACGTGGACGGCAATCTTATTGGATGGGTTCCAAAAGGGGGGGCGTAGGTTAGACGGTGTTAAGATCACAAGCCGAAGTCGCCGTCGATCAAGCCCTTACATAGAAAGCTCGGTAGTTTGAAATATCTCATCACTTCTATTCTCTTCTCAGGAACTTAGCGAGAAACTCCTTCCATGTGAAATCGAGGTGAAAGCGGGGAGTATAAAAGCCAGGACATCAGACGACCGGGAGGGAGGGGGCAAACCAAAGTTCACCAGTTCGCAAAGGCGCAGCACGATCCGGGTGCGCCGGTTAACCGCGGCAATAAACTGGCATCGACTACCGTCGTCCCAATGTTGAAGCTTGACGGAGCCGAATTCGGCGAGTTTGATTTTTGAGGTGAGTAATTGCAGGATATTTTGAGTTGCGAGAATGCCGTCGGAATGTTAAACTGTGCTCTTTAAAAGGGGCTGTCTGACGCGAGGTGGGAATGGAGATTGAGGTCAGGTGTTGAAGCAATATCTCTTGATTACTACACTCTTCTGCCCAAGATATGAACGAAATGCAAGTCGCAAACAGCCAAATCGTCGTGGGAGACAGGAGCAAGGCGGCTCCATGGTATTCCGTCGAGGCCCAAATCTCCGCCGAGGCACGCAAGATGCTCGAGGAGTACGCCGGCATCCCGCCAGACGAGGTCAGAGACCACGTCGTCGCCATGGTACATGTTCCCTTTCCTCTCCCTTTCGCTTGTTTATACCCCTCGACTACTCCATCCCAGCACAAGACAAGCCGGGATATAGCTTGATGCTAACATGATGCCATCCACAGCGCGACAAGATCTGGGAAGTCTTCCCCTACCCCTGCATCGGCGAATTCCACTTCCTCGACTTCAACCTCGCCCACCGCCCAGGCTATCCGCAACTCCTCGCCCGCCTCCAAGACAACCCATCCGCGCGCCACCTCGACATCGCCTGCTGCGTCGGCCAGGACCTCCGGCGCCTCGTCCACGACGGCGTCGCCTCGTCCAAGATCGTCGCCGTCGAGCTGGAGCAAGGGTACATCGACGCCGGATACGAGCTCTTCCGCGACCGGGACCGTCTCGAGACGCGCTTCGTCAACGCAGACATGCTGGACGACGGGGACGCGAGGCTGAACGCCATGGAGGGGACGTTTGATACCGCGCACCTGGGTCTTTGTCTGCATCTGTGGACGCGGGAGCAGCAGATGGTTGTGCTGCGGCGGGTGATTCGATTGTTGAAGCAGGAGCCTGGGGTGATGATTGTGGGTCATGCTGCGGGTCATGCGGATGGGATTGAGTTGAAGGGAGTTTGGGATAAGCCTGCGTTGAGGCATAACTTGGAGACGTGGGAGAAGATGTGGGCTGAGTTGTCGGAGCAGACTGGGAGTAAGTGGAAGTTGAATACAGTCGTGTCTGAGCAGATTGGGACTCGGGGAATTGAGAGGCCCAGCTGGTGGGGGAGCGACATGAGATTTGTCGGCTTCGAGCTTACTAGAGAGTAGGTAGTTGACTCGAGTTTCAACAGGTAGAACAAACACGACGAACAAGACATATGGCACGTATTGCAGGGAGCGAGAGAACAGTGTCATGAAGCATTTCCTTTGCTAGCCTAGGGCCATGGCCAGATTCCCATAGATGAACATCATCATAAAGCCCAATCCGGTTCCAAAACCATGCCTGAAAGGAGAACTTTTTCATCCACTGCTCGTCATTGCAAACACCTGAAACACCGAGTACCCGAGTAGAGAAACAACTCTTTAGGCCTTGGGGGTGTTGGGGACGATCTTCTTGCCATCCTTGTTGTAGCGGACGCGGGGAGGGGGAGCGCGGTTGCGGCGGCCCACGACGGAACGGACACTGGGAAAGCAAGTCAGCATTGGGGGGTCTTTCACAAGGCCCGAAAGCAACCGTCAGGTCGGCAATCGACCTCCCGCAAGAGGGGAAGGACCGCGTCGCCGAGGTGCAGGGCACGGGGGATATGGGAGCTTCGAGTAGCGCCAAGGTTCTTCTGTAGCGCCTGCGCGCCGCGGTCTTGGTGTGAACCAGACCGACGGGTTGCAGTCGTCGCTCCCGCGGACGAACGTACCGGACAATCTTGCCGTGAATGGCGCAAGAGACACAGTACTGCAGCTTCAGGTACATCTTGGGTACGGTGTACTCCGCGAAGACGGAGGCGTCAGAGATATCACCTGATACCTGTTAGTCTTTGGGACGTGTTGAGAAGAAGAGGGTGTAGGCATACGGATGGCAGCAGACTCGACCATGTTGCGGATGGTGAAGCGCTTGATCGCCTTATCCTTGGGCGTGCATCGCGAGCAGTTGCTGCAGCGGATGGGCTTGACGTGGCCGCGGCCCTTCTTGTTGCGTCCGCTGTAGGAGGGGAAACCAAGTCAGTAATCGTGTTCGTTTAGGGGTATCATTGCGCAAGTGTCCATCTGGAGCCTCAGTCGCCGGCGTCGTCGAGCAGGTTCATGATATCGGGACCCGTTGTCGACGGCCGGGACGTGAGGGTAGAGGCACGTGGGAAGCGCGGTGTATGGGGCGGATGAGGAGGGAATCTTCGTACTTGTTCTTTCTCTTCTTGACCATTTTGGCGACGTCTGACTGTGTGTTAGTAGGTCCGTGAAGGAGAGAAAAAAGAGAAGAGGAGAAGGGGTATATCAATTGCGAGGAGACGTACTTGATCTTTTCTGGCTTGCTGAGTCAAAAAATCGCAATTGGTGGGTTCGACCAGGGCGCGAAATGGTTTTGACGTGCCTTGCTGCGAAGTGGTGGTGGGTGGAGGCTGCGTACGAGTGAGGGCTGGTCCAGGGCTGGAGAGTGCGGTACGGAAAAATGGTGCTCGTGGACCCACCTCTGGAAAAATCCCACTCTGGAATTTTAGGCGAGGATGCACTTTACGCGGGCAAGTCGCCTCAGGGCTGCAGTACGTATCGTATTTCGCACCACACATTCGATTTCCAGACTCTATGGTTGGCCAATCGTAGACCAGCAGGATCACGTGGTCTCGCTAGTTTTCCAGGTCTCGCAAACCCCCCCACCCGGTCCACCCGGCGCCTGCGCAGGACGGATTTACCGTGCGCTGCGACAGACGGCAGTCGTTTCCTTTTAATTTTCCCTCATCCCCAACTCGAACCCATCTGAGGATCTGCTTAGGAAGGCAATAGACATATTGTCGAGGTACGTCTGAAGATGCTTCTGCTCCCTCTTTGTTGGCCATGAGCCCGTTACACCTCTTCTTCTCCCTTCGTTTTCTGGCATTTCGTCTTTCGACGAGTTGTGGACTCTCTTTCCGCTGTCGCCTGCCACTCGACTCTCGCAAGGCGTAATCGCGAAATCGACAGCGTCTTTCGAGAGTTATCGAGGGGGCGCACTGGAAGGGGTCAGAGTCTTTTGGCAGGGTTCAACGGCATGCGAGCGAGCTCGTCGAGCCTGTAAAATCGCTTCGCCGAATGCTCAATCGCTGCCGCCACCCACCAAAGCCATCGACATCCAACTCTGCCGGGAACAAGGGGCGAAGAAGAGGAGCATCGAGGGAGACGGACAACAATCTTTGCTATCCACCCAAACTTCGATGCATTTGATTCTAACATTCCGTGACAAGTAGGCAATCATGCAGATCTTCGTCAAGACCCTGACGGGCAAGACTATCACCCTTGAGGTGGAGTCGTCCGACACCATCGACAATGTCAAGTCCAAGATCCAGGACAAGGAGGGCATCCCCCCCGACCAGCAGCGCCTGATCTTCGCCGGAAAGCAGCTCGAGGACGGCCGCACCCTCTCCGACTACAACATCCAGAAGGAGTCCACTCTCCACCTGGTCCTGCGCCTGCGTGGTGGTATGGCCAAGAAGCGCAAGAAGAAGGTCTACACCACCCCCAAGAAGATCAAGCACAAGCGCAAGAAGACCAAGTTGGCTGTCCTCAAGTACTACAAGGTCGACTCTGACGGCAAGATCGAGCGCCTTCGCCGCGAGTGCCCCTCCGACACCGTATGTTTCCCTCTGATGTATCATACCCTCGTTTCAATACTGACTCCCTTCAGTGCGGTGCCGGTGTTTTCATGGCCGCCATGAACGACCGCCAGTACTGCGGCCGCTGCCACCTCACCTACGTCTTCGACAAGAAGGAGTAAATTTTCTCTCTTGTTTCGCGGGCGCGAGGTTACGGAAAACAAAAAGCGACAATTCTGGGAGGATCGGTTCAGGGTTAGCATTCTAGTCGGCAGAAAGCCGCACACAAAACGGGGGCGTTGATGTACACATCACTGGCTGGCAATGACGATGCAATTTCATGACACTATGACCATCTCTCACTCTTTACTCTCCACCATGACTTGTGACGTTACGTGACCTGTGTATATTGGCTCCCACAACTTTGGTTCTTTGGTGACTTGGTCTACCTAACCTACACCTCAACCTGCGAACCCGTTCCGTAAATTGTCATACTTGGTCTCGGGATACGTCAGACAGTTATCCCGCCGCAGCAACCCATGCGGACCACCAAACGTATGAACCACATTCCCAATCAACGACTCGTGCCCAGGCTTATCAGCACTGCTCTCCCACCACATGGCACCACCCAGACCCCATCCCCGAATATACTCAGCCTTCTTCCTCGCCATGTGCACCGTATCATACGTAACCATCTTCCTCCTCCCCGCATCATACGAGTAACTCGCACCCGTCTCCTCGTCATGATACTCCTGCGCGCCCGGCATCGGCAACACCTTGTAATCAAAGACGCCATTCTCCCAGCTCCCCTCCCCGACCCCAGAATACGGCGTGCCAGGACCATCAGTATTCTCAAACGCGCGGCCGTACAGCGGCATCCCTAGCACAATCTTGTCTGGGGACACACCGTGGGAGGTGTAGTGCGCCAAGGCAGCGGCGGTGCTGAAGGGCGTCGAGCGCGGGTTCTGTCGGCAGGGCTGGAGGTTGGCCTGGTGGCCGGCGGTGGTGTCCCAGGAGCCGGCGTAGTCGTAGGCCATGAGGTTC